TGATGCAATGTAATCAAAATTAAGAAATATCGTACATTAATAAAAGAAAAGAAGTAGAACGTTCCTACATTTTTGGTAAAATTATTTATTTATTATACCCTACAACACTATTTGTTGGGGATATTATAAGTTCTTTGGGCCAAAAATTATGTAACACCTCGAAATATTGGTTTCCCACATAGAAAAGTATATATGGATCTTCCTATTTCGCCGAGCTGAGTCGATCTAGCTATGTCTGTCTGTCCATGTTAATTTGTAATCAGTCTACAGGTCGCAAATTCACGAAATTTGGAATGGAGGTGGTGTTAAGGCCAGAATAGAACCCTATTGCTTTTGAAGATGATCGCATAATATTGAGGGGTTGAAATGGACCAAAAACTGAAAAATATCCTGATTTTGGATTTGCTCTGCAGATCGCAATTATAGACCAATCGACGCGGAAGTTAGCATTGGGGCTAGAGCTTAGAGCTGGGCAGAGGTCTTCCTATTTTGATGGTCATCGGGTAATATTTAGTGGGTGAAATAGACCATAACATTAGTGTTAAATAAACGGCAAATTTTCCATTAAACCGCGAATATTTTTAATACCGGCGAAATCACAAATAGACGAACAGGTCAATTCTGACCGTTACGTAGATGCCGATGGTAAATATTTCGGTTATATATAGCTTACGATCTCGTCACTTGGGTAAAAAAAATGTTTTTTGTCATAGAAGTTATTTTTTAAAATAACTTCTGGGGAGAATATCCCAGACAAGAAACAAGGGAACTGATGAGGATTGGTGGCTCTTTCCGAAACCTAGGTATTCCCTGCCTTACCCCCTGGTAAACATTACCATCGTTCTCCACTCATAAACAAACGTTGTTTTTATAAAAACAACAATAATGGGATTTTGCCTGACGATTTTGCAACAACAAAATAGCGAAATATATACAATGTATATATACAAAGGAAGGGGATGATAGCTGGAATGCTTATATCTCAAGAATGGCTGGACCGATTTTGACAAATTTTGTCAATTCAGAATGCGCTCTTAGCATAAAAGAATAAAATCTAAAAAAAATCGTATAAAAATAATGACGTTAAAATAGGTTTTGTATTATGTTCTGAGATTTTTTTTTATTTTTTCATATTTTTTATCGCATGCGATTTTTATACCCTACAACACTATGTGTTGGGGGTATTATAAGTTTGATTGGGCCAAAAATTATGTAACACCACGAAATATTGGTTTCCCACATAGGAAAGTATATATGGATCTTCCTAGCTCGCCGAGCTGAGTCGATCTAGCTATGTATGTCCGTCCGTCCATCTGTCCGTCTGTCCATGTTAATTTGTAATCACTCTACAGGTCGCAATTATGGCCCGATCTTCACGAAACTTAGAAGGTGGGGCTAGGGTCAGAATAGAACCCTATTTCTTTTGGAGATGATCGCATAATATTTAGGGGTCGAAATGGACCAAAAACTGAAAAAATGTCGGATTTTGCAGTAGCTATACAGGTCGCAATTATAGACCAATCGACGCGGACTTCGCATGTAGCTAGAGTTTAGGGCGGGGAAGAAGCCTACCAATTTGGGTGGTCATCGGATAATATTTAGCGGGTAAAATAGACCATATCTTTTGTGTTGAAAAAATTCAAAATTTTTCATTAAACCGCGAATATTTTAAATCCCGGCGAAATCACAAAGCCATGACAAGGTCACTTCTGATCTTTACATTGATGTTAACATCCAACAAATCGGATATATAGCAAAATATGTGCGATATATATGTTTATCAAAGAGGATATGCTTGAAAGATCTCTTATATGTCGAGAACGGCTGAACTGATTTCGACAGTTCTCATTAATTCAGATTGGCTTCTTGACAGGAAAGAAAAACGTCTAAAAAAATCGCATAAAAATATCTCTCTAAAGATGAAAATATTGATTTTCTAACATTTTCTCATATTTTTTTCAATTTTGTCATATTTTCGGCATATTTTCATTTTGAATTAAACATTTGGTACTATTTCTACAGCTAACAAAACTAAGTAGTTAGGATATCAGGATATCATACAGAGATCGCATTTATGGCCCGATCCTTACGAAATTTTGCATGGGTATAACATAAGGGTCAGAATAGAAGCCTACTCTTTTTGGATATGATCGCCATATATTTAGGGGTTGAAATGGACCAAAAAACTGCAAAATTGTCGGTAGGTCGTAATTATCGCCCGATCCTCACGCACATTTGAATGGGGGTTACCGGACATTGCAAAAGCCAAGCAGTTTTGGATGGCCATCCAAAAATATTCAATGTGTGAAGGAGTTTGCCAACTTTTGTAGACAAAATACGAAAATGTCCATTACAGTGACTTCTTGGAGAATTCACAAATACAGGAAAGACGCACTTCTGACTATTTCGTTAAGGCTGATTTCGTTGAAGAATATAGTCAAATGTCTGTATCTCATATAGATGCGTTTCAGTCAAAAACCAATAATAAATGTTAATCTTTTGCCACTTCTGAGAGATTATAGGTCTTTGGGAAATATTGGTTCCAGATCTAGGAAGACCATTTAAGTGCAACATCTACCAATAAATTGGAAATGAGCAAATTAGTTTAAGTTGCTATTATTCATTAATTAAAGAACGAAACCTGATGGTTTTCTTTTATTATTTGTCACAATATCTTGTGGAATTCTTTCGAGTATCTCGCCTATATAAACTGTATCGTTTATTATAGTGTTGTAGGGTATTCAACGGTCGGCCCCGCTCGACTGTAGCCTTTGCTTACTTGTTTCAATTCGATTTACGACATGGTAGTGCTCCGTGACATAATTTTTTAAGGGAAATCTTTCAAAATGGATTTGGACAAAAGAGGGCTTCTGACATATTGTAGTGTTGTAGGGTATCAGATGGTCGGCCCCGCACGACTATAGCCTTTGCTTACTTGTTTTTAAATCATTTTTTACTGGAGCATTTGAATAGTAACAAGTACAATAGAAGTTAAGTTCATCCGGGCCGAACTATTCATACCATCTACAAGTTGGAAAATAACTCATGTAAAACTATTCCTGGAAATGCCGAAACTATAGTATTCGGGGTTTATGTGTCACTTTTGTCATTAGGAACATTAAATCGAAATTTCAAGGAATTCTATAAAAAATGTAACCAAAATGCCGAATGTTGGGAGGGTGTGACGAAAAAACGCTGATCTATGTAAAAATTCGTTTTCAGCAAGAGTAGAGAACCCTCTACGAAATTCAGATACCGACTTTTAAATAATTTTGTATAAAATTTGACCAAAATCGGTAAAAAACCAAATAAGAAGAAATATCGTTATATGGGGCTATAGATTGAACATGTTTTCTAGCTTGTGTAAATTATAACAAGTAAAAAAGCTGTAAGTTCGGCCGTGCCGAACTCCACCATTTGGTACATGTTTGACAATTTCCAAAAAGAAAAGAAAATCCGTTAAAAATTCTGTTAAAATCTTAAGAATACCAAATGCTTATACGAGGACTTGGGCCTGCATAGGCAAATTTTGTCATAAGTTATTACAATATTCAAATGCGAAACTTGAAGAAAAATCTGTTTATAATATACCGAATATGGGGGGTACCGTTATATGGGGGCTATACGAAGACGTGGACCTGCACAGACAATTTTCTGGCATGGGCTGAAGTATCCATTACGAACTTCACATGCGAAGTTTGAAACAATCCCGGTAAATAATGTGGCTAAAATCAGCAAAATACCGAATATCGGGAGGTACAGTTATATGGGGGCTATATGATAACTTGGACCTACATGGCCCATTTACGAACTTTGCCTACTGCAAAAATATACATGTGTGCAAAATTTTAGCCTTCTATCTCAATTTGTTCTAAAGATAGCGTGATTACAACAGACAGACAGACACACAGATAGACAGACGGACATGGCTAATTCTACGCTGATCAAGAATATATATACTTTGTTGGGTCTGACGTGAGTATTTCGAGGAGTTACAAACGGAATGACTCCATAGTATGGTGGAGCATCTTTTCGTCGCTTCTAGTTACCATAACTGCACGAAAAATCGATTAAAATTCCCTCTTTTTCAGCTTACCACTTAACAATACAGTATAACAGTTGTTTGTGCTTGCCAACTACAAGCAACACAAAAGTGAAATGCATTAATTGGCAACGCTCCAGTTGTATCAATAACAAGAGACTTGTGTTGCATACTTTGAGGGATAATTATTTCTTTTGTTCAACATTTGATTTCTTTGTATAACATTTGATTAACGACGATGTGAAGTATGCAGCACATCTGTTGGTGTTTTATCATGTTTGAATAGCAAGTGTCATATTATCTTGGCAACATGCCAGTAACTTTATTGCCGTTTCTTGGCCTATTCTAATTGAGTCAACCGGCACAAAAGGAAGATCATTAAGCTTTTCATTGGTGGTGAAAGGAACTGGTTTCAGGCAAGGAATATTATTTGTAAACAAAGAAGCTGTGCAGTTTGTCTGACAGATGAAAACAAACACCTTAAGAAGACCAACACGCAAAAGGCATTGAGTCTGGTCTGGCCGAGACTCCATGCCTTTAGCGTGATGCTCTTCTTAAGGTCGGTCAAGCTGCTTTGGTGCAACGATAATGATTTGTGTCTGTCACGGTGTATTTACGGTAAACCCTCGAATGGGAATATCATGACCTTGCCTTTAAATCGAAGTACCTGTTTATTTTTTATTCCTGAATGACGGTCATGCGTGTGGATTGAGTGTCAACAGGGGCACTGGGTCATTGATCATTGATGGTGCGACAGATTCGATGGATTCTGCTGTAGGTTATAACGTTTTGTAGTTGTTGTCGTTGCTATTAAGAGTGCTTAACAATTCGGTATCTCTTCTGGTTAAGAAGTGCAACATTGAAAAATTTATGCGTGGACGAAAATATGCCGCATCATCCATTCATATAAAAGAGTTGCGAAATAAGGAAGAAGACATCAGTTTCCTTGCAACATTTGCACAGCAAACATAGCAACGTTTTCTTAAAGTTTAACAATTAAATATTTCTCATTGAAAAATGCAATTCAAATTCATTGTTTTTGTGACCGTTTTGGCATTTGCCTCGGCCGGTGTTTTGCCGGAGAATTTCGAGCAAAATGATCCACATCCCAATTATGAATTCTCCTACAGTGTTGATGACCAAGAATCGGGCGATGTTAAATCGCAACAGGAAAATCGTGATGGTGAAAATGTCCAAGGCCAGTATACCATAAATGATGCCGATGGTTACAAACGTATTGTGGATTATTCGGTTAGTGGAGAAAGTGGTTTCAGAGCCATGGTGCGTCGTGAGCGTTTGGATGATAATGTAGAACACGTCACAAAACAAGCATCCGCAAAGCCTTTACCCGTCAAGGAAAATCTCATCAAACCAGTGGTCCCAGCAAAACCTTTGGTTAAGAAACCCGTGGTGCAAGCCCCTGCCTATTTACGCACCACCGTTGTCCATCAACCCGCACTATATCATGCTCCAGCACCCGTTGTCCACTTGGCACCATCAACACATCATCATCACATAGTCCATGCTGCTCCAGCTACCACCACTGTTCTTAAATCTTCGCCCACCGTTATTACAACACACCATCATAGCCCAGCTGTAGTCCATCATCACACTCCTGCCGTTGTTCGCGCTGCTGTGGTCCATCATGCCCCTACCTCTGCCACTCTGGTCCATCATCATGCTCCTGCCGTTGCAACACCACATCATGTTTCGTATGTTCATTACCATTAAATAAATGATTTGCTTTTTTGTGACCCCCATAAATAAATAAAAACTGTTGTCGAACTGAAAGTTTTACTTCTTTCCATTGTTAACTTATTGCTAAATTTACATATATATTTCGCCATTCGGTTGGATGGGAATTTTACAATTTATTGCCATGCTTTTATCGTACATCTGATAAACAAACCATAAAGTCATAATGGCGGTTACGACCCCATATTAGCTACTGATCATTAAACAAATCACTTTTGGATTGTGTTACTGATACGGAAAGGGCAAAGTGGTGGGAAGGATTTATGACAGAAAAAAAATTCAATATTCAAAAAAAAAAAATTGAAATTCTGAGTAAATAATGATATGAAAACATTTTTACAATTTTAAAGATATTTAGGAATATTATTTTGACTTGAAACTTGGAAGGAAAGGACAAAAATCGGGTGGGCCGGGTTGGAGTTCTATCCATTAAAAATATAGGTGTGATATATTGGGAATTTGTGTGATGTAAATCATACCAACTATAAAAGTCACACATTTCAATAGATGTAAAGGTATCTTCGAAATACCGAAGCTCACCAAACCGTGCCTCATCGAAATAACGGTTTTAGACACTAGGTCTCTTTAGACTAAATCCATTTCAGGGCATTTGTAGTCGATCTATTATTGTCCGCGCACTATAACTCTCGAAGGGAGTATCCGATTTCGTCCAAACTTGGTACATCATAATATTATTATCAAACCTAGATGGAGTTCGGAGATGGGCAATATTGTTCTACTCCTTCTAGTACCTCCCCTACAAAAGGTAGAAATTTTCAGTAATATATTTTACTGCATAGAAATAGGAAGGATAATCCAATTTATCTTCTGTTTTGCAAATCCTAATATTTGCATTAGTGCTAGGTAAAGTGCGAAAATGGACAAAATCGGTCCACTTCATCAAGTACCTCTCCCACAAAGAGTCAAAATTTTGAATAACTACAACTCTTATAAAATATGATGTAAAAGCCCGATTGTCTTCAAATTATATTATTATTTATTTTTATATATTCTATATTTTTATTAACCCAAGGTGTGGTGTGCAAATGGGATATATCGGTCCACTCTTTCTGCTACCTCCCTCACAAAGGGTCAAAATTTTGAATATCCATGAAGCTCCTAAAACGCGAAATTAACATCTGATTTCATTCAGACTTGGCAAATTTCAATATTTTTATATCAACACATGATATGTTATAAAGATGGTAGAGATCGGACCATTTCTTCTGGTACCACCCTCTCCGCTCGTATTAATAAACGGTGGCATCAGAATAAATTCCGAATATTATCGCGAAAATATTCTGGAGGTTGTATTAAAGCCTTGGGCACGCAAACATTTTGGCCGCAGACCTTGGACATTCCAACAGGACTCAGCACCATCGCACTCAGCACGCGCCACCAAAGAATGGTTACAAAATGAGGTTCCTCGCTTCATTTCCAGCGCACAATGGCCACCAAAATCTCCGGATGCAAATCCGTTGGACTATTGTGTCTGTAGTAATTTGGAATGGAAGATTGGCACTAAAAAATACCAAAGTGTCGATCACCTCAAGAAAGCGCTTCGCTGGGAATGGGCCAAAATACCGCAGAGCAACATTCGGGCAGCGTGTGACCCAAGGCGACCAATTCGAACAAATCTAAACTTATTCTAAATTTTGATGCTATTTCCGACATTTTTTGCTTTCATTTAATAAATTTTAAAAAGAATATGTAACAATTATGGCGTTTGACTTTGTTGCAGTATCTTTATCTCATCCTGTACACTCCATCTGTGACCCTCATTCCAAATTTAAGAACTTTAGCGCTACTGGTTCGTCCTTTTAGTACTTTTACGTATAGTTCTGGTACAAATTTGCAACATCCAACTTTATCTTACAAAATTTCAATATTCTAACTTTAGCCGTTGTATCTGGACGTTGTTATATTCTGAAACTTTTGAAAAGTTTTGAAAACATAGGCATAACAATCGATAAATTGTCTTATTAATGTTTCTTAACAATATGAAAATATTTTTCTGCTCATATTCAAGAAATCGTAAATTTAAATGAACCAACATAATGAAGTTATTTCGATTTAACTAAAAATAAGTATGTGTGTATGTGATTTTTATTCCTCTCCGATGATTTGTGAACAAGGTCTTGGTTGGCAACGAAATCCATGTAAATTGCCATCATTTATCGCTCATTATTATAAACACATCTTGGCTATTATTAACGGCCATTAAAGGAGTAATAATGGAGCCAACAGAAATGTAACTACCGATCTTCAACTCATTTTTTTCGGTACTGATGATATTGGTGCCAGAAATAATAAACAGGAATTGTGTGTTTAAATGAAGGTACAAAAAAAAAGGAAACAAAAAATAAACACAGAAAATTCTAAAATAAAATACCCAAAATAGGCAAGTATCGTTACAAGGGGGACTGCAGAAAAACGCACTGTATGCCATCACATACTTCAAACACCAAATTTTTAAAAAAAAACATTCCGATGAGAAGTGTAAAAAAATCATAAAAATACCGAATATCTTAAGGTACAGCTATATACAATTGCCTGCTACAATATCCCTACATCCAGGGAACACTAACATCCTACTAACAGCAAATTCGGACATAAAAAAAATTTGAGTTAAATTGTGTCTATTTACTTCATTCCGTTCGAAAGCTTGAGTGATATCGAACAGATAAGATTGTATATACTATATGAGATCTAAAAATTTCGAGGCGTTACAAACGGAATGACAATTTAATATACTCACCATACTATGGTGACGGGTATAGTCTTATATCTCAATTCGTTCGGAATATAATATATAACATTATTACAATATAAGGTGATTACAAACGACAGGTGGACGTCACTAAGTCGAACCCTAGGGTAACCCTAATCATGAACATACATATCCTTCGTATAATTACTTCGGAGAGTGTAATAACAAAAAATAAAAAAGCCAATATATCCTATGGGGCATAAAAAAGTAAAAACCAGTATGGACAAGTCCAAAGTCTTGCGGGGCCGACTATATGATACCCTACACCACTATGCATACTTAGTAGAGCTCCCGTAACAAAAGAATTTATTTGAAGTGGATCATACCACCTATCAACATTTAGCTTTAGATCAGTTATAGTTTGGTTTCACAGGGAACTAATATATGGGAGGCATATCCAATTCTGAATCGAATATTCACTAAATTTGACGGAGACATTTTTATCTTTTATACCAAATAACATTGCTATAGAATGCATGATATCACTTCGACAAGGATTATATTAAAACAAGTACGAAATGGCTATAGTCGTGCGGGGCCGACCGTGTGATACCCTACAACACCACAATATGTTAGAAGCCCCCTTATGTTCAAAACAATTTAGGAAGATTTCGTACAGATATTACCCTTAGCATTTAGACCATGGATATTTGCCCAATATTTACGCACATCGTCGGGCTGTTAGTTGTTGTACTCCATTTTACATCTAAATATAATCCAATAGTCATCCAAAATGTCAGAATTCTTCCCTGTGCTTAACTCTTTTCACAGGCGTGTCAATTGGCTTTAATTGTGTGATCGGAAAAAAATCTGTTTTTGGTTAATTTGAACCCCTAAATATTTTTCAATCATTTCCACAAGCACGAAGACCCTCTGTACCTCCAAATTTAGACTCATCTATAAGATTAGCTTGTCTACTATATTTGGCTAAATTCGTCAACGAAATCAGCATAAAAAAGTCAGAAGTTCGCCTTTTGTGTATTTCGGATATCGCCTGCAAGTAATGCTGGTATTTTTTTCACACAAAATTAGTGGTCTATTGTACCCGCTGTCCTAAACTCTAACTTTATGCGAGATTTCGTGTCCTTTGCTTTCTATTTGTGACCTTTATAACGGCTGCAAAACAGGAACATTTTTAGTTGTTGGTCCATTTCAACCCCTAATATACTGCGGACATCTTTTCGTGAAAATTTTCGTGCGGATCGGCCGATATTTTCAATACTTATATAATATCTCCAACCTGTATTGTAAGGTGAAAAAAAATATTACAAAATATTATAAGTCAAATTGAAAAAATCGCATGCGATAAAAAATATGAAAATTTAAAAAAATGTCATCAAATACTACAAAATCTATATTAACATCATTACTGGCATCTTTTTCAGCGATTTTTTTTAATTTTATTCTTTTATGTCAAGAGGGCATTCTGAATTGACAAAATTTGTCAAAATCGGTACAGCCATTCTTGAGATATAAGCATTCTAGCTAACATCCCCTTCCTTTATATATACACATTATATATTTCGCTATATATATCCGATATATTTACTATCGGCATCTACGTAACGGTCAGAATTGACCTGTTCGTCTATTTGTGATTTCGCCGGGATTAAAAATATTCGCTGTTTAATGGAAAATTTGACTTTTATTTAACACAAATGTTGTGGCCTTTTTCACTCACTAAATATTACCCGATGACCACCAAAATTGGAAGGCTTCTGCCCAGCTCTAAGTTCTAGCCCCATGCTAACTTCCGTGTCAATTCGTCTATAATTGCGACCTGTAGAGCATCTGCTAAATCAGGTATTTTTCAGTTTTTGATCCATTTTAACCCCTAAATATTATGCAATCATCTCCAAAAGAAATAGGGTTCTATTCTGACCCTAGCCCCACCTCCATTCTAAATTTCGTGAAGATCGGACCATAATTGCGACCTGTGGAGTGATTACAAATTATCATGGGCAGACGGGCAGACGGACGGACGGACATACATAGCTAGATCGACTCAGCTCGGCGAGATAGGAAGATCCATATATACTTTCCTATGTGGGATACCAATATTTCCGTGGTGTTACATAATTTTTGGCCCAATCAAACTTATAATACCCCCAACACACAGTGTTGTAGGGTATAAAAATATATATCGGAGCCGAGTTTCACAAAATGGAAACGTACGTCCCGAGATTCACTCCAGTTAGACTGATATTAGCCATTATTTGCACAATAAA